TGTTAATCTGTTATATTGGCTGTAATTTCATCAGTTCCCTCTCTTGGCAAATTTAGCACAGCACAGCAACATATGTTAGGGGGAGAGAGAGGGTGTCCTAAGCTTTGAATTATGACTAAGAGCACTGCTGAGGAAACTGTGTTTTTCAGAATTTGGGGTTGAGAGGAACTCTTCAAGAGAAGTGATCTTGATCCCTTTTTTAGCAGGAGAATTAGGCTTTCTGAAAGCTGTTGTTTTGCAAAGAATGAAATGGGTTCTTTTCCCTGCGTCTCAAAGTTGAAATACAGCCAAGCTAATAAGTGGCATGCTTGCTTGTATTGACCAATTCAGTGAGTATGTTTCAAGAGGCAAGGTGGTAACCCTTGTCACAGCCATCTACTCTATCATCTTTGTCAACAACCAGCTTTTATTTTACTAATTCAAGCTGGTGGCCAGTGCACTCTGAAATTGGTTAGGTAATTATTCTCAATCAATGCTGTGTAGTATGAAGGTAGTAACTTACCTATCACAAGGTTCTTGGTTCAGTCACTAGTTTTGTTTTTGCAACTCTCCCACTAATAATAAGTGATGTTGCTCATAGAAATTCATAAAAAGTGAAGCAAAAGTCAGTCCTCAATTCAAACCTGTAAATGGGCTATCTTAGTGAGATGTAAAGTTTTACAAGCAATTCAAGTTTTTAATTATTCAAAGTGAACATAAAATCAGCGTGTTTTTGAGTTCTCTGCAAGGAGAAGAAAACTGGCTGTACAGAAAGTGATTCCAACTCTTTGTTCTTCTACTGCAATGTAATGTAAAACTAATTGTGCACTCTTCAGTTCACATAACCTTTCAAACAAGGTAAAATATTTAATTTCTGATGTTAAGGTAGACAACAATACAAAATATGCTTCACATTTATATTTTTTGAAGAAGAAGTAATGGTAAAATTTGTGTGAAATCATAAAATGCTTCAGCGTTCCTAGCTGGCAAGTACAGTTGCAGTGTTTTGGTGGTAGCTCCAATTTTGGTGATTCTGACAGGTGCCAGTAGTACTAACCAAGGGTTGTGCCTTAACAATATGGTTTAAAGGTCAAATTAAACATGCATGTGCACAAAGTCAAGCTACCTTTTAAGTTTTTGTATAGCAAGATACAAAAAGCCCCTTTTCTTTTCAAGTAATTTATTATTTATTCTGAGCCAGACTTTTTCCTTTCTTAGCCTTAGCAAAAGTTTATAAAATAGTTCTAGAGAAGGAGCAGCTGTGAGCAGCTGAAATCAACAGTGAAGTATTTCACTACTAAGTCAAATGCTGTTTTATTTGCACTTTGAAGTATGAAAGTAGTTATGATTTGACATCTTGTTCATTGATTTCCTGCTATCCTCTCCCTCCACCCCCGGAGAGATTTTAATCTGGTGTATGCAGTGTTATGGAAAGACAGCAGTTCATAACACCAAGCTGTGATGAGTAACCATGGCTATTTCCCTAGCAAGTTATGTGATACAGTTACGCTCTCTGCAATGACGCGTTTTATGAATCAAAGCTGTGAGCCGGAGCTGTGACTTGTATACATGTGGGATTTCATACTGCAGTGTTGTTCTTGTGTTGTTTGCCTACAGTTCTGTGACTATGGATCCTCTTGTTCAACATGGGGTGTTCTCCAGGGATTTGCCCAAGTATGCAGAGGTCTGATCTCTGCAGTTTCGCTCAGTTTTGGTGTGTTTTTTGTTGTATTTTTTTTTTTTTTAACTCAAAGTTTTTGTCTCAGATATTGGATGTATATGCAGTTGTGTTCTATTTCTACATCTGTGTCACTAAATGCTTTTCATAATTTTTGGGATTTGGCTTTCTTTTTGGCATATTCTTACACAGATGGGGAAGGACTATGCTTCTGGAACTATAATGGTGTAGATAGAGGCACAGCTTTTAATTGAGGCAAATTTGAACATGCACCTGAAGTTAAGGACATGCAAGTACTTTTTTTGCCATCGTTTCAGTGTTAGTGGTTTGTCTGGAAGAAGGTATCTTCTTGATTGTGTTGCTGATATTCTAACTAACACGTTAAGAGCCTGTAGATAAAGCAGAATGTATGTTGGTCAAGTTGAAGATCAACTAGCACATGTTAAAGTACAGCTTGCCTTGACTTCACATTGTTCTTTCAGAATATGTGAGTCCATGTTTACTGTAGGAAAGAAAGGCTTTGAACAATCTCATGAGTACAAGCTGTCCTTATTGGGTTTCAGATATCGTTGTAGGATGAGATAATTTTTATTTTTTGCACATGCTTCTAGCCATATTTATACATACATACATATATATATATATATATGTATATCAGTAAAGATTTATTAGAGCACTTTGGAAACTTGTTTAAAACCATTTGTCTAACATCCTGGCCTACTGAGTGCATTAAGTTCATATCATATTGAACTATGGTATAGTTCAAACTTTTGTGATGTCCCTGGCTTCTTATTTTTGGGTTCATTGTGTCAGTGGATTGTGTTAATTATCAAAAGATTTTAAGGGGATAAAATTACTGAACACTGATACTTTCTTCTTTAGCATAGAGTTGCCTAGACTGCTATTTGATTAAGGTTTCCACCCTTTTCTATGCCTAACTCAATTTTAAATGTTGATTCTCTCCATTTGTGAATTGGTGCAGTTGTTTATTAGAACAATCCTTCTATTGAAATACCATAAACCTGGTTTGCAATTTCAGTATCTGTTCTGCCCATTACCACTTTCATCAATGACATTCTCAGATGCCTAAAAAAAGATGCCACAATTTTCACTTGATGGAAACTCATTGGTGAGCTTGACTTTGGGTAGAGCATAAGCCATTCTAAATATCATCTTGTTCATTATTCCATTAATAATTAGTTTGAAAAGAGATCATGTCTTTTGGGAATATTTTTGCGGAAAATATGATCATAATGATCATAGACCTTTCTATCTTCACAGCGTGATTTTGTAGTTTATTTTGCATAGTATTGTGGGTTGAGGGTGGTCCCTGACAATACTTTTTTTAGGGCGCTCAGATATGAGGACAAAAGTGGCAAAATAAAGTAACAGTGTGATGACCACGACTTAGTAACATAAAACACTTTAATAATAATGAAAGTAATTGTGGGACAAGGCCCAAAAATCCAAATACAATGAGGGAACAAGGTCTCTTTAGGAGCCAGTGGTTGAAGGCAAAAATACAGGGAGGTTCAGGGTATAAATATGAGGCAAGAGAGGGGGTGGAGTTGTAGTTAGGGTCCAGTGGGTATAGGGGAAAGCGGTGCAGAGATGGAGTAAAGGAAGGTAGGGTCCAATGGGGTTGGTTGGGTGGGACATTACATCAAACGAGGGCCAGTGGGGATACAAGGAAGGGAGAACATTCTAGGAACTGGGAGTGGTGATAATTAACAAAGACATGAGGGTTAGGAATATATATGAGGTATTAACACAGGCAATCCCATAACTCTTTGTAACTTTTTTCTGGGGTCACCACAACTTAAACAAAGGCCTCCCAAGGTTTAGGGTTGGGATATAATTCTTCAGTGATGGTTGCCTGACCTGGAATACTGGTCAAGCTGACTCCCATAGCATGGTGCCTGAAAAGGTTGCTAAGAATTTAGCCATGCATGACTGCTTAGTTAAAAAACTTAAGTTTTCCATGTATTTAATACAACAATTTTAAAAATGCAATAGTTGAACAAGACAGCATGGGCTGCTTGGAGAGATATGCAGCATTTGATGGCTGTCTAATACTTGTTTATAACTTAGAACTATGGAGAACAGTTTGGGGTGGAATCAATGCTTTCTGGTTTACTCCAAAAGTATAGGCAATTTGAGGTATCACTGAGAAAATTCAGATGTGCAAATATTAGGCAACTCCTAATTTGTGAAAATACTTGTGGTGCTGTACTTCGTGTATATTAAGTTAACAGCTTTTAGTAAGACTGCATATAGGTGTAGGGTTTTATATTTGCAGCCACGATGGAGGTTTTTCCTTCTACTTGTTTTCAGATTTGTTCAACTTTAGCAACAGTTTTTCTTTGAAGTAGTTGCCAAAAAGTTTAATAAGTGGAGGAAATTTCTGTGGGACCACACCATTCAGGGAGCACTACTGAACCAAAAATCCCTGACATATTTTAGAACTCCCCAGAATACTCTTGTGGTAAAGCAGCTGTCCTAATTGTAGCTTTCTGTTCATTAAAGTCAATGTTTTAAAAGTTTATTCTCCAGCTTTGGTTAGTGTGCTTCTTATTCATATTGACAATACACATCTGGAGAAAAGATAAGTATCTTAAAGAAGCTGATAATTTCGCACTTGGCAGATAAGACTCCAGGATTAAGGGAAGCTCTTGGTAGCTAGGAAGTGATCCAGTGTTTAATAGCGGGAAAGTTGTGGGTTGTGTGTTTTGTGTTTTTGGGAGTTTTTTTGTCTTATGCCTTTTTTTAACAGATAGTGTTTTGTTATTATTTGGAAGAATATTTAATTTTTCAATTCATTCATGTGATACGTGGTGCTTTTGACTGATGCAAATAACTGATGTATCATGCAAGTGCCCTGTTACTGGTCAATTACAGAGCCTGAACTGGCCAACAGCATTCTGCTTTGTGCTAGTGCACTGTGCAAGTAGTATCTCCCTGGAATGAATCTGGAGCATCATACTTCTGTTGGAGCAGGTTGTATAGGGTTGCAGCATCACAGTTATGTCTCCTTGTCACTATGAACAGAAGAACACAATTACGCAGTTGTTTAAAATCAGTGGTAATCTGGTAAACCTTATTTATTACATATTAATATATATTGGCTTTAGATCCTGAGACAGCAGTGCACTTGATTTTACTGCGAGTGTCATTCATCTAACTGTCCTTGGTTTCTAAACAAATTTATCTGACTTGTGAGCCTTCAAAGGTCTTGTGGTAATCAAACAATGATGTAGTGGAATATGAAGTTGGGCATATTCAGAATTAGGAAAAATTTCTTCACCAAGCGAATCAGCCAGCTTTAGAACAGGCTGTCCAGGGAAGCAATGGAGTCACCACCCCTGGGGATATTTAAAAGGCATGTAGATGTGGCACTTAGGGACATAGATTAGTGGTGTCAGTGCTAGGCTAATGCCTGGGCTTAATGATCCTAGAGATCTTTTCTAGCCTAAATATTCTATGATTCTGATAAAGGTAATTGATCACTGGAATAACAACTTCTTATTTGTGTTGACTTCTTGATTCTGAAGACGCAGTATAAATAATGTTTCTCCAAAACAACCCTCCATCTTCTTGTAGCAAAAGGATTGCAGAGGGCTTGTGATTGTTTTATACAGGAAACCAACCTTTCTTATCATGTGTTCCCCGTTTTCTTTAGCTTCTGAATAAGGACTCTGTCCCTATATTAAAAGAAATTTTGGAGGATAATATGCTCTGAAAATAGAATTTTCGGAGATTATTAATGTCTTGAAAGCAAGCCTCTAGAACCTGTTGTGTTGGGGTCTAAAGTTAGCTCTGTCACCAAGTACTCTCAGGAGCAAGTAATTTTGTTACTATTATCAGTTACAACCTCTGTTACTTGTTAACCAGTGTGTGCTACTTTGGACTGACTTGGAGTAGTGTCTTGTTGCATACTGCAGTCCTCCTTGTTTGGTTTTGCTTTTTTTTATTTTTTTTTTACTGATTACCCAGGAAGTAAATCTTTCTCGGTATAAAACAACTGGCTTAAAATTTCTCTTTTGCGTGTCAAAGTGAGCAGCCAAAGACAATTGCAAGCTATGTTAACTGGATATGAAGGAAATAAATCTGCATGTTGCTTAGTCTCTCAAGTGTCCAGCACTGCAGCTTTATTGTCACCTCATTTAAAAAAGGCAAAAGTAGATGGTTTTTGACCCATGTTTGTCCCTCTGCCTTCTGTCTCCCAGACATTTATAAGCACATTAATATAAACACCAAACATGATTTGTCTCTCCAGTGCTTATCATCATAGAATCATTGAATGGTTTGGATTGGAAGGGACCTTAAAGATCAAATTCCAGCCTCTGTGCTGTGTGCAAGGACGCCTTCCACTGGAATAGGTTGCTCAAATCCCCATCCAACCTGGCCTTGAACACTTTCATAGGTGAGATATCCACTTTCTCACCAGCTCCACAGGAAATAATTTTGTCATAATATCTAATCTGAATCTACTCTCTCTTAGTTTAAAGGCATCCCCCCTTGTCCTGTCACCACGCTCTTGTGAAAGGTTCCCTCTCCTTTTGTAGACCCCTTTAGATACTAGAAGGCTTAGTTTATTTAATTAAGTAAAATTACATCTTAGCTCAAGATACTATGCTTATATTTATAACTTTTTTTACAGAAGTAGACTGTAGGCCTAATGTTGCAGAAGCTCAGAAGAAAATGTTGCTGTAGGTGTCACCTCAGTTGTGTGGATGGTCCCAGCACTTCAGGAGTATCCTGTGTATCAGTGGTCCTCAGCTGCCACATGCCAGCACCCAGAGCTGTGAAATTGCCTCTCTTGCGTCGAGACAGCTTGCAGCACTCCTTCAAGCACGTTTGCTTTGCTTTTCTGGTGATGTGGAGAAAAACTGGCTTTACAACCATCTGCGTGTTATAAGGCAAAGTTGAACTTTTAACATGGGTAATAAAAAAGCCTGTTTTACTGGATTGATTAGAGGCAACTTCAAGGCAATCAGCAAATGTGCCTCTTGCCAGCAGATAAGGTTAGACAGCATGAGGAGCCTGGCTTTATTAATGTCCTTCTTTTCCATCAGTCGAGATCCCTTTTGGCAGTTGATGTGTGACAAGTAAATGAGCTGCAAGTTTGTGTTTCTTCATAAGCTTAACTCTGATTTCTGTCAGCTGACCTCAAGCAACATTGGGTCAAATAAACACTCCACTCCTGAGTTTTGCTGTTTAAAAAGCGTGTTGGCTGTCCATTCCTGCACCAGTAATGTTAGGTCCCTTTGGTTTCAACATGTTTTATATGTATGTCTTAAACATATCAAGCTGTGAACTATATAATGAGGTTACTGCCTGCCCTAGGGCTGGGGCTTCTATGAGAGGCTCTGCAGATGTCTGTATTGCTCTGCCCACAGGGCAGAGAGTGCACAGGTGCTTGACTTATGTTCAGTCACTTCCTACACTGGTGCTCTCTGCAGCCTCTGTCTGATGGCTGGGCAAGACTGGCACTGTGGGGGAATGTGTGGGACTCACAAAGGCCTGGGATCTGGGAGAAGAGGAGAAGGGCTCAGGCTTGGAGAGTTGGCAGCTTGGAATCCTAAGAGATGAGAGTAGTAGTTGCAGGCTCAGAGGCATCTGGGAATGCCTACATGACTCTTAGGATAGTGGATAGTGCCAGAGGTACTACTAAAAGGGAACGCCGATATATTACCAAGTTATTTAGTAATAAATATAGGACTTGACCAGTTATATCTATTATAAACCTGTAGTTACTTGAAATAAATATTCTGCAGACATTAAATTCTATTACTCTTCTTTTATTTGCAGGGCGCAAAAAACAGTTTACTGGTTTTTTTAATTTTGTTTGTGGGTTTTTTAAATTAGATGCTTGTATATAAGGGGAAAAATAATTTGCTTTGAGAACTATTTAATTCTTGGAATAGATTATGTAGAGAAGTATTGAAGTCTTCCTTGATGAAAGTATTCAAGGTTTGACCTCATGGAACCTTGGAAAATCTATTTTAAAGTCCTACTTTCAAGAACAGTTATACCAGATGATCTCCAGAGGTCCCTTTCAACCTAGATTTTTCTATGATTCTGTGATGTAGGTCATACATAGCTGTGCTTTTTAAAAATATTTGTGGTAGTGTAATGGAAATTATACCGATCTTGTTAAAATAAAGGATTTTTTTTCTGTTGAAGATAAATGTGGGAAGTCAGTCCACCAGTGCGATACTGTTGCCAGTATGCAGTGATAAACTTAATAAAATAATTTACATTGTTGTTCTCTATTAGAGAAATATGGCTATAATGCTGATACTCAGTTATTTTTACTTATGTGAGAGCAGAAAGAGCTCTTAGTGAGGTTTCATCCTGTAAGGAGTTTGCTTGATGCACACCATGCTGCTTGAGTAGTGTTTAAAAACTTGGTTTCTAACCTAATGAGAAAGCATTTGACTATTAGTAGCAAATACATCCCCACTGCCTTTATTATTGGTTATATGTAAATGATTAATACCTGAATGAAGATTTTATGGCTGATGGCATGTTGTGTATGTGTATATATGAAAATAACATATATATTGATACATTTGTTGCAGAACAAATTGAGCATGTTAAGCTTATAAATGGTGGAGCTGTATTTGTTGCAAAACACTTTGATGTAGACATATCCTGTTTGTAGTTGGTTTCTGGGTATTTTTGTTGGTGGATTTTGGTTGGGTTTTTTTGTTTTGTTTTGTTTGTTTGTATTTTGGGGTTTTTTTGTTTGTTTGTTTGTCTGTTTTCCAAATTGGCCAGCTATAGTGGTTGGCCTTGCTGGTGTAAGTCTTTTTGGTTTTGTCCCAGCAGTTCATTGTAGAATTTTTTACAAAGTCAATGTAACTTATTGGCATTCCCTGTATGACGTTTCAAGTTAGCCTTTCAAATTTTGCCAAGGTAATTCTGCTGTCTACTGGTTCAGAAAATAGTCCTGAGATCTGTGGGGATGTCTGTGCATATACCATGTGAAATCTGTACAGTGCTGCAGAAGACCTAAAAATTTAGACCTGGCTTTCAGAGTGGAACTTACAAAATTCTTACTGGAGAAAACAAAATCCTGTAAGCTACTTCATGGGAAAGTATACTTAAATATTCAAAACCTTTTATGTTAACCTGTGACGGATTTGCATGTAAAATTAGGTGCAGGGACTACTTGGTTTAGTTATGATTTGGCTTGAGTATATTTAGCAAGTTTTATATACTGTTTCCGGTGCTTAACTTTGCATTAGAAGAAGAGAACATATATATGAATATACTTTACAAGCCTGTTTTATAATGACTCCTCAAGTTCTTTTTTATTTTTTTTTCTTTTCATTAAGCTAGTAAAAGTATTTCAAGCAGGGAGAAAAACAGTTACAAGGTCAGCATTTCTCTAAGTGAAAACCTTGAATTTTTTTAACCTGGTGTTGCTAATGATTTATTATTTTCTTTGTTGCTTGTTTAAATTATTTGATATCTTTATTGTGCATTTAGATTTTTTTCCTGGCACCTAACCACTTTAGGACCTGCTCTTGAAGTGGACAGCAAGGTGTTTGCATTGTGCTTGCTCCTGAGACATTTGATATAGAAGTTTCTTATTCTTCCACGACTCCTTAGCATAATTGCAGCCATCACAGACTGTGTTCAAACAGCGCTGCTCCAGGCACTGGTGTGCTGTCACCTTTCTCTGGGTAGCTAGATTTATGATTAACTACTGTTTGTACAATTACAAATACTTTAATTTAGGTGACAGCTCCCCTTGACAGGGCAGGGAAGTGTGGAGAAGGTCTTCAAACGGATTATTCCTAGGATAGAGGAGTTGGTGGGTTTGAACTCCTGCTGTCAGCGCTGAGCCCACGCTCCCGAGGAGGCAGCGCCCAGGCTTTGCCTGCGGTTTGTTCCGGGCGAGAGGGCGGCGAGCCCGCTGTGTTAGCTCAGCTCGCAGGTGCTCTGGAAACTCCCCCATCTCCGGGCGGGCTTTGGGAGCCTCCTGCGTGGCCCTGGTTAATGAGTAGCTTGGACCTCGGTGTTCCCAGCGCGGGGCAGTTTGACGGTGTCACCGCGGCAGAGTGGGCAGGGTGTGCTGGGCTGGGGGCCCTGCAGCTACGCTTCTGGGGGTGGCAGTGGGACCAGCGCAGCCAGGCTTCTCTTCCAAGCTCAGCTTTGAAGCCTCTTTTGGTGGCTGAAAATCAGAGGAAACTAGCCATCTGAAATCTGTATTTTTGAATTTTTAAATCCTTTCTTTACTGCAACTGTAATGGGAGTTGTACTACTGAATTTCTTAGGTTTGATAACGCTTTGTAGTAGCTGGACTTCTAAATTTAGGAAAAAGTGCTACAGCCTCAAAAGGATTTAATTTTACTTCAACTACACTGATATTCTGCTCTTTTTGCTTTCCAAGTGTTTGATTAATTGATCAAAACAGTTTTGGATTTTTTTCTGAAGCAAATTACAGTATGATTCCTCTGATTCCACTTACACAAGAAAAAATGTACATTTCTTTCTTACAGGCTTAGTGTAGCCGTGGAAAAGGGTTTTAACCCTTTAAGTGCGGCGGAAATAAGATGCACAGCTACATGGTCGTCTTTCATGACAGGAAGAAAGAGACAAGTTTATTCAGAAGCACACTTGTTTTTATAGCATGACTTGCAAATCCAAGAGTAGAGAAAAGGTGATTGGTTCAGAGAGAAGACACCCCATTCCCAGGGTCTGGTCACACACCACAACAGGTGTTCTATCTTGTTATTAGTTCCTTTTTATTTTGACCAAATTATCACCCTGGGAGAAATTCTCCCTAGCCTTGAGCTGGAACAGCATATCAACTGGGAACAGAGCTGAAAAGCTCCAGCCTGGAATATTTTTCAGGCTGTAATTTTCTTACTTTCTCAATATGTGTCCCACAGCTTGGTACAGTACAGTACTCAAGTTTGTACATCTTTGATAATGTTGCCAGTTTTTTCCTTCGTGGTTTAATACTGGTCATTGAGCAAAAAAGTTCTTGGAGATAAGAAGGTGATAGTTTGCTAAATTGTTGCACACTGAAAGTTTGGGGTAGAAGAAAGTAATTAGTACAATCTGTGATGATGGTTGTAATAATACCACTAGAAAGAGTTGTCATCCTTGTTCTTCTGAGGTTTTCATTTCCCTTTCCTACTGGAGATATTAATAAGGTGGAGCTGAAG